CAAGGGCAACAAAACATCCACGGATGCAGAAGATTTCTCTTTCAAAACAGAGGGGGTGAGGTTCTAAGCCTCACCTCTGTTGATCCCCAATTTCTCACCTGATGGCCCCCCTGTGACTGTGCCTGTCTTAGGTTGTTCCTCCCTTGAGGAATCTTACCCGTCGGAAACATTATTTTTAATGTCAGCTTTATGAGAGCAGAATTTTGTCCTGTTTGCCATTATATCCCAGCATCTAGAACACTGCCTGCATATAGTGGATATAGAATGTATACTTGCCAAATGAATAAATGAGTTTGTTTGAATGGAAATGGTAAAATAGGATCTTAGAAGTTGTAATATCATCCAGTATTGATGATGGGCCTCTGAAGAGGAGATACTGGTTTTTTTTTTAATCCCCAGTATACAGGAAACAGATGCAGAATGATTGATTTGCCCACAGTCACAGAGTTGGTAAATGAAGACATTGAGTAGAAGCAACTCTCTAGGTGAAGACTTGTTTTCAGTGTGATCCTAACAGAACTTCATTGTTTCCTTATTGTCCTACCACCAAATGGCCATGATACCACTTACCTACCTCAAGATTTTGTTTCCAACTCAGAATTTTAAAAGTGGGCTCAGAATTTATTGCAGCACAGCTCATGTTAATTCCTGTGCAGTCTTCTCACAGCCTCTTCTTATCTTATCAGTAGTTGCTATGCATTGAAAGAATTTTCTTGGCTAAATTTTGCATTTTCTAGCTGAAATATGGTAAGGTGCTCCAGGGACTCTGACCCAGCTGAATCCTTCCTAGAATATTCTTTTTAGGAAAGTCAGGACTTTCTGAACACTATCATATATATCTTAAACAAAACAACCTGTTTTCTTTTCAAGTAGTACAAAGTATACACCTGCCATTAGAGAGACGAGTACTACCCCCATCAGCTCAAAAACTGGCCAAGGAAAGGATGGAAGGTCGTAAACCCAGGAAGTGCAGGCACACCAAGGGCACCCCTGTGCATTTTGTTTCCAGGGCAGTGATGTCAGGTGGGGATCGTCCCAGGGAACAGAACTAGGCACCTTTCAGGCAGGTGCCCTTTACTCTCACATTTTGGCAGCAGCTCACTTCCTACTCGTGCCCATTTCTGCTTTCCAGCCTCAATCTGGTGGGGAGGAGCAACAACTTAGCCTGGGGTGTCACTTGATACGTGGCTGGGTGTGCTTCCTTCTCTTGCCTTGGTCCTTTTCAACGTGAACTATGGTGTCCTACTGTTTCCCATCAGGACAGTGATCACACTGGCTACTAAAACCTTCGAGAGGCACGACTGTATGAGAGTATCCCAAAGCACGTGGCTTTACTGAGGTATAGCCCTGCTCCAGGCCAATTTGTGAAAAGGTGACTGAATGGAAAGGAATGGGGGTTTTCAATTTAAATCTTCATGGTTTTATACTTGATTTAGGCCAGGTTGGTACATTTCATTTGCTTTATCCAAGACTAGGAATCCCTACAAGGTCAAAGCTCTGTGTGGTTCATACATGGTCCTTCATGCATGAAGAGCTGGCCAAAAATATAAGCAAAGAGCAGATCAGGACAGGAGACACTTTGCAATTGTTTGTCTTAACAAAATGCATATCAACAGTCCCATAGAAAGGGATTGTGGGAAGGGAGGGATAAGCAAAACGTTTGTACCTCTTCATTGGGCAGTAACCTGGTTTGTTCTCTGAGGCCTGCTGTGTTTCTATTTTCCAAGTAAGACAGTATTTCTGTATCAAGTGGAAACAACCATAAGACAATAGGCATAGATAGATGTTCATCTGCCCATTTGCACAGGCACTGTCCTGGCAAAAGCAGGTACACACGTGTGCACACACACATAAACACTTACACCTTATATATCTAATCATTTCAGTCTTGGCCAATTATAAGTGGCTGCCCCCACCTTAGCTTACTAATGTGATGCTTTTTTTTTTCTCTTTCTTTTATTTTTAATCACAGCAGAATCTAAGAAGAAGAAAAAGGAAGGCAAGAAACAGGAGAAGATGCTGGACTGAGATGCCACCTTCTGTGGAACATGAATAGATGTCAGCAAACAGGATCAGTTAACCATTGCATTTATACCTACCGTAGGCTTTTTATTCAAAATTTATCTATAGCTTAAGTATACAATAGGCAGAAACAAAAAGGAAAGAAATTTTTTGTAGTAGCATTTTTAAAATGTATACCATAGTACCAGTAGGGGCTTATAATAAAGGACTGTAATCCTATTAGAAAGTTGACTTATAGTACAGGATAAATGATAGGAAATTGAGGTAAGTTTTTTGAAGTTATGTGATATTTTACACTTAAAATTTTTTTACACTTTTTTTTTCTTTTGGCAACAATTTAAATGTTATGGCCATGTAAACTACTTCTCTCATTAGGCATTTTTTTCACCTAGACTTTTTTTCCCAATTGAGAAAAATAGATACTAAACAAAGCAGCAATAAAATATAATCATCCTATTTGAAGAAAATATCTTATTTTCTGCCAATTGATTTTTTTAAAAAATCAAAATGGATTGAGGGGGCAGAGCATGCCTTATTTCAATGTTGACTTTAAAAAAAAAGAAAAAAGAAAAGCATTAATACATGAAATTCTTTCATTTTGGCAGAAACATTTGTTTTCTTGATGAAATTATTTTTCCATCTGAGGAAAAAAAAGACTAGGAAAATAAATCAAGGTAATGCTGAATAAAAGGTGCTTTTGCGTGCAATAATTTGATATTGTAACCCTCTTTCCTTTGTCTCCCACTCCCCCCAAGTCAACCTGTTAGCAGTGAGATTTTATCATACAAACTAACTGAATCACTCTTGGGCACAAATGTTATAGAGGTTTTAAACAGATGTAGATGTAGACATAGCTGTATATCTGTATCGGTATATTTTTAACTTTGAATCAGTATTTAGTAAGTTAGACTGGTGCTACTGAATTGAACAGAAGTCCCAAAGTAGTCTAAGGTTTTGTGGAACAGAAAATCGCTCTTCTTATGTTGAATCAGTTTGAGTGTGCACCGTCCAAATCAGGAACAGAGTAACACAATGCAAAATGGTAGTTTGCCCTTGGTATCTATAAACCAAGAATTCCTACCCTATTATCTACCGTATGACCGCTAAGGACTCTGTACAACTTCCTTTTCTGCTGGGCTCTAAGCACAGTCTTTAAGTAAACAAGTCTATGCTCCTATTATTCAGAGAAATAACATCTCAGAAACCAACTGGGATTGGATTAGCTTCAAAGTATTTCTCTTGAAAAAGTCCTCTCTAATTTTACAGTGATAAGACTTAATAAACAAACATATATATGCCATTTTCAGAGATAACAGTTTCAGCATACCTTGGCTAGCCAGAAAATAATTACAAACTGGTCTAAAGATGCAGCCTAAGTGTCCTCAAAGCTAATCTGCTTTTGCCATCTAGTGGAAGACACCACTTGAGCTGGTAATTTGAGGGGCCCATAGAATCAGCCAACTCTGTCAAAGCCAAAGCCAACTGCCAGGGTGGAGAAGAAAAAGGTGGGCTTCGGGCACACACACTGAACATTCTGTGGAATGGTGCTTAATAAAAACAAGAGTACCTTGTAAAGAGCAAATAACAAAAAGATGAATAGTGACTGCAGTCCTTCTATAAGCACACGTTGATAGGAAAAGAGCACCTGTGGAGATGAACGGAGATGAAAGAAAGACCTTGTTTTGAGTGAGTGGATTTTTTGACAGCAAAGTCCCACAAGGACAGGGTTGGTGGGAGAGTCTGCAGCAACTTTCGTTAGCCTCTCACCTAATGTTGCTCCTCCGTCATCATCATCATCTAGCAGCCCATGAATCAGTAATGAGCCAAGGGAAATAAGAACAAAATATCCCAAGGGAAAAACAGTCCTGTAAATAATTGTGGCATCCCCCTTTATTCCCAGGGCATGGCAGGAAGCCAGGGGCCATCTGCTGTGTCAAGGAGGATTCCTAACAAACCATATAACTCCCTGATTCTCTGTCAAAGCAAGGGTTGAAACGCTCATCTATATTCCATAGAGTATGAAATTCAACCTCCTCTAACTCTCAAGAGTTTTCTACCCCTGCCCCAGCTTTAAACATCATGTTAAATCTCACTGAAATATTGAAAACATAAAAACGAAAAGAACAAGCCTCCCAAATCACTGATTCTCACAAATGGGAAAAAACAGACCATCAACAGTCACTTCATAGAGTGCCTCGGCAAACTCTTTCTCTCCCCAGATGTTCTGAGTTTTATGAACTTTGCCCTAAAGTGCATTAAGCCTTGAGGAAGGAAAGAGGAATGTAAAGAGGTCAGCTCTGTTTCCTTAAATGGCCTCAGAGTGAAGATAAGCTTTCTTCCCAATAATTAGGAAGGTGCAGAGCAGCCTCACCAAAACCCTAGCAAAAACAATCTTTTTCATTGCCAGAAAGTGTCCCTGTTTAGCTCAGTGATTGCATCCTCCACACATCTTCTCTGGTAGACTTTCTGATCTATTCTGACTATATGAAAGCTGTCACACTCATGATACATAGATATTATCAAGCAGAGGATCTTGGATAAACACATTTTGACTTCATATACTCCTGGAATGGAATGATATTCTCACATCTTGTTAACTCTGTAAGAGTGGAACTCCAAACAGAATTTAGTGCTCTGAATAGTTATCAAGTAAAGTTCTACTAAATGGTGTGGTTTGGAAGGCATGGCTATAAAAAATTTCAATGATGTCATTTGTGGCTGCTTGACTGTAAGAAGATTTATTTGAGGAAAGAAAAACTGCAGTTCTTTACCCATTAAGGCAGATATTTCTTTAGGAATAAGAGATACATACTTTTTCCCCCATAATATGGAACTCTTGGCTCCATATTTCTGAAAATCTTACATTAATTACATTAATTGTAACTTCTTTAAATGAAGAACAGGTAAATATGCTTTAGGAGGCACTGAATGAGGCCATAGAAAATACTATCTTTCACAAATTATATTATTTTAGAAGAGTTTCCAAACATAAAAACTAGAACTTTATCAACCTTTAGTCATGGGGTTTTCTAATGAAATGAACCAAAGGGCTTTCTTCCTATTAATCTCCAAAAATTATAAGGCAGATGAACATCCTTTGATGTGGAATATCAAAGTACTCTATTACCCCTTTTTTTTCTGGCTTGCTTTTAATTTAATTAATTTTAAGCCTTAAGCTTTTCAAAGTGGGATCTATCTGAAGGCCAGGTGTAGGGGAATAATTATGCAACACTGCTCATGTAAACTCACATTGTAGATTCTTCTGTGGAGGAAAACAGGCTCTTCACTGTACACAAGGTTATTTCTGAATTGCAAAAATTATCTTCATGTTTTTTCCCTGTATGACCATGTTTGTTTCCTAGAATCTCCCACTCAGTCTTGGCTACCGCAGTCAGACAGAAAGCGAGAGGACACTTGTTTTTGCATCTGGAAACGAGCAGCAGAGATTAACTGCTCCAGCCAAATAAATACATTTAATTTAACTTTTCAAAGAAGATACTGAGTCTTGGGATACATTCATATAAGGAGAGAGGGGGATTATGTTATTCTGAGCCTCCAATTAATGCCTACCTCAAACTTATGTGGACTCTAATTCTCCCAGAAATAAAAGATCTGGAACATTTTTTTAATCACAGAAAGATATGTTTGGAATTCCACCTCCTTTCCCCACTGCTTCTGGTCTTCCCAGTACTTGAGTCTTCCAAGCAAGGCACCAAAAGTGAAGTGAAATGCTCAAGCCTGTTAGAGTCACAATGAAATAATGTCATTCAAGTGTATTTCAGCACAAAGAAATGTAGACTTACACATGTTTGGTTTTTCAATTTAAAAAGAAAAATAAAGAACAATTAGCTCTCAATATTTGATTTCTGTGAAGTGCTTTTTTTTTTTAATGGATAAAACCTTAACAGGCAACACCCTGTTTTAACGTATTTCTTATGTGTATATCCATGACAACTACTGTATTAATTTATTCATGGGGTTCACTAAGGAGGTTACAGATCTAGATTATCACCACAGATTGTCTTTTTTTTTTTAATGTGCATGGGAGCCATACACATTGCATTAGAGAATGAGAATGTGGGAGGTCCTGACATCATATCCCCTCACTCCTGGGAATGGAGGTTGGTCTTGGACACGACGCAGGTACTGTACGTGTATCCATACACTCAGCCTGCTCTTGGCGGGGACACAAAGGTTACATGAAATCATCAGAGGACAATTTTCTTTTTCTGTCTGTCTAGCAGAGTAACTAGCCTTTTCACATGGTGGCAGAGAACTCTCCAAAGCCCTTGATTGGAAGCCACCAAACCTTGAGGCTCTGGCCTGGAATAGGGCCCACACCGCATCGGCCACATTCTAATGGTTAAAATGAGTTACAGGATCAGCTCAGATTCTAGAGGAATCCAGGAGGTATGGTTCCCTGAGGGCCATATTTGGGGACAAGATACACAAAAGAGTAAAATACGTATTAGACGGTGGTAGGCGCAACAGAGAAAAGTAGAACAGTGAAGGGCAATATGTAGTGTTGGGCAAGTGTACAATTTTAAATACAGTGAAAGAAAGGCCTTAGGAAAAGTTGACCTTCAGAGTAGCAAAACTGAAGGAGGTGAGGGAGCAAGTCATGCAGTTATTGGCAGGGAGAACCTTCCAGGCAGAGCGAGCAGGCAGGGCAGTGAGTGCAAAAAACTCTGAGATGTGAGTTTCCAGCTTATTCCATGAAGAGCAGGCTGTGGTTGAAGTAAGAAAAGGAAAAAGGATTAAGATATCATCAGAGTAATGGAAAATGAGGGCAGCATCGATGAGGGTTGGGCCCAGAGGAATCATTTTATTTCTCCTGTGAGACACTTCTTCCTCAAACAAGGGAAGCCAAGTGGGAATGTTGGCAGGAACTTTGGTGGATGGGGTTTCGTCAAGTGCTTCAAATTCTTCCTAATAAGGCTGCTGAACCACTCATAGCCTGTTATTTTCCTTGAGATTCATGTAAGCTCTGTGGCAAAGCTCTCAACTGCCCTGGTCTAATTTGGCAGCTGAATGACCCATCTCTGAGTTTGGTTTTCATCAGTCTCAGTCCAATGGCAACTGGTAAAAAGAGATGCTTGGGGCATGGTGACAAGAAGACTTGGATTTTAGTCCATGCCTCAGAGTGAAAATGGTGACATTTGAGCTTATAATTCCCTCAGTTTTATTTTTTCAGGTCTATTGCAAAGGCCGCCAGTTCCTAAAAGTTTCACCAACAGCGTCCCCATCAACGACCTTATTTACCAGCTCTCCACTACAGATCATGGACTCTCAGTTTCCCATCTTAGAATTTTAATGTCAGGCCCATTGCCCATTGCTTTTTATAACATTTTGGCTCTGTAATTATTTCCACCTACTTCAATAATCTCTGCAGGTCTGAGTCCTATACCCAACGGCCTCCTGTGTGCTTTTGTGTTCATTCTGCATCAACGAGTGCTCTTTGGTTGCAAGCAACAGAACCTACTACACTTAAGCTGAAGTTTGTGTACCTATGTGTGTTGTGCATGGGAAGGAACTTCTTGAAAGGATATTCAGTAGCTCAAATTTTTAGTAGAAGAGCCTAGGGAAGGTCAGAGGATCAATGCAGCATTAAGAGAAAGACACATATGCACATACATAAAAGACACAAATACTCTGGGCACCTGAGCATCCTAAGAATTCCTCACATGACTCAGTTCTAATCCTTTTTGGTCCCTCTGTGTTCTTGTATTCTTGGGACGTTTCCTTCTGGGAAAGGGACTCCAGCTGGCCTAGCTAGGGCCACACATTGTCGAAAGTCCTTGGTCTTCAGATTGGCAGCCTACCAAAATCACACGGAGGTGAAGTAGAGCAATTCTTCAAACAAGGGCACACTTATCAGAAATAAAAGGAAAAATTAACACTGAAGCCTTAAAATAAATATTTTAACTAATTATGTTAATTATGTTTAATAGTAAACTTGAAAACACGGAATACTAGGAAATTAGTGTTGACATGGGTTGGAAATATATTGTACAGGAATTTTAATTCAAAGGGACTTGTCAGACATTAATGAGTTAGTATTTTTTAATAAAAAACTGAAGTAACAATGTTTACACTTGCAGGATTTTAGTGTGTTACCTGGAAGTGGTTTATGGGATAAATCTGAGTAGCAAAGCTTTTAAGACAGGAAGACATTAGGAAGTTACTAGAATTTTCCAACTGAGAAATAATGAAAGCCTTTTGGATCTGTCATACATTTTGCCTCTGGCCACCCAGTCATTTTCTCTCTTGATTATTTCATTTTCTCTTCATCCTTCCTGTTGCCTTGTTACTTTCTTTGGGTTCCAAGGAGATCTGACTTAATAACACATTCTGCTGCATGCTT